CTTACTACTTTTCCTCCCTCTAAATTAAAAATGACATTATCTGCAGAGCATGTATTGCTACAGACGGTAGCAGAATGGAAAACTTACCATGGTTTCAGAGCTGCAAGCTTATCTGCTTAAGGACATAACTAAGAAACCAGATGGAGGATAATTTCTCAAAGCTAGCCATCTGGGCCCTGCAATGATACACTCTGCCCTAAGCATTACTCAGGGAATTGACTTCATGATGGGAAAAAAAAAGCAGAGAAAAAAGGACAAGTGGAAAAAGAAAGTACACAGTATTTTAAATTACAAACTTTGAAGCCACAAAGGCACCGTTTTTGTGTTTTCTTATTTTTGTGTTATAAGGGAAGAGAAAATGAGAGTTTAATGGTTAATATAGCATCATAATGAGCTTCATTGGAAGATATACTGTTTTTTGTGGAATTTTGATTGAATTATTGGAAGTCAAGATGCAAATGAGTAGTGTAATGCTTTCTGATAGAGCTGCTGGTTTTTGTTGTTGTTTTTGTTTGTTTTTTAACACATTATTTAAGGTCTGCTAGGTTATTTTATGAAGTTCTGCACTTCAGGTATTCCAGCCAGATCTGTGAATCCAGTGGTTTGCAGAGAAAGGTAGGAAATACAGCACACTCCGTTAGGTTTGTGGAGAACACCAAATGCCTGTTAACCAGATCAGGTCAAAGCAAACATGAATGAGTGGGTTTTCTGAACATTTCTACTGTATGATCTGAATGTGAAATCAATTGGCGAAAGATTTAGTTGTCAGATATACCAACATTCCTGGGACCAGAAGATCTAACAAAAGTTATTTCTCTTTCATGTTCATGGAGGTTTACAGTCTATCTTACTGGATGCAGTCTTTAGCTGAAATTTTCTATAAAGTTAAGGCATTTGGGCTTGTTGTTGGTTCTGGTATGGTGGTTCTTCAGCATTTCAGAGTGCCAGCTTTTGATATGGGCTTTTCTCTGCCAATGCAGTTATGAGATATCTTCCTACTGGATATTCAACTATTCAACTGCTTTTGCTTAGCCTGAACTTACTGGAGACTTTTTTTTTTTTTTTAACTTTGGACACATTTTGAAAGAAATTTACCAATGATTTTTCTTTCCTTAGAAAATTTGGCTAATACTGTAGATTAAAATAAATAAATAAAAGCAATAAACCTGATTCACGTTGAAGTTCTACTGCACGCTGCAAAACTCATATACCGCAGGTTAGCTTTCATGCACTCTGTTATAGTGTGAGCCTTTGTAACAAGCTACCTAGTATCACTGAGAAAATGTCATTGGCCTCCATTGAATGCTAGGATCTTATCTATGGCTTCCAACTGTAGCTCACTTTTTTTGTGCGTGTGACAGATTTAGAACAGTATTAAAGTGTTATAAAAACCAGAGAGCAGTCCATTCAGCACATTTTTAGATGGGATCCTTAGAAAGAAATAAAATGTTTTTAAATTTTCATGCCCTTTACGTAGCTGGAGTTGTCAATTGTTCCTGATATATTTATGTTACAGCTGTTCTGTAAAGACAGACAAAATGCTCTGTAATGGTTTTAAAAAGTCCTATGACATTTTTCTTCTGCATGGCACTGTTTATGTGCTGTCTTGTCTGCTTATTGCATCAGGATGTCCAGAAGAAAATGACACAGGCAGAATTGGATGTCAGGTAATCATCAGTATGAAAATGATTTTTTTTTTTTTTTTTAATTTCCATGAAGGAAATCTATATGGGAAAATCAGTAGTGATACTTTTTTGTTAGTCAATGTCACCAACTGTGCTGTGAAACCAGCACTTTGGTTAACGCTGAAATTGGCTTCAGGTGTTAATGGCATGAAATAGCTTACAGAGGAACATAACACAAACTTAGCTGCTTCTCTGGCTCTTAAATTTCTTTCATATGGGAATACAACCAAGAGAAATAATGCTGAAAAAACTTGCCGAACTTGTCCTTCTCCACTCATTGCTCCTTTTCTTCATCGCCATTGCTCTGAAGAACTGTTGGTTTGAAGCTGGGGTAAGAGGACTGTGTCTTTTAAACACCTGGCATTTGGAGGCCTATAGAGTATACTGTGCAAAGCAAACAAAGCTGAAGGTAAGCAAGCTTTTTTCATAGGTGAAGAAAGGAGATTTTCCCTTGCTCACCTGAGAAGTTCTGGTGTTTCAAAGCTTAAAAATACACCCAAGGGTTTAAATTTGTAATCTTGCTGTGGTCCTGATCAAAGAGAGCAACACTCCTCCATGAGCCTCCATGAAGGCTGGAATCCTATGTAAGAAATCAAGTCAAAAAGCTGTCTGAAGCACAGAAGAGGATGGTTACTTCTATCCATAGGAAAAAAAAATAATAATAAAATGAAAATGTGGCTTTTATTAAAAATGATCTTGGTAACTACAGTATGTGCCTTGCTGGAAATGGAGAGTTATTGTAAAGAAATAGATCACTGCTTTGCAAAATATTTGGTTTTTTTTTCTGATTATTAGGACATTTTCTTCTGGAATTTATTAATCCTTTGGAAATTTGCACAGAAGAGTGTTGGAAAAGACTATTACCCTCTTTAGGCTGATACTGCTCAGCTTTTGAGGAGCAGAGCTCTCACTGATATCTATGGTGTTTTTCACCAGTTGGCAGTCACTCTGGTGGTGATCAATCAGTGAGCTCTGTTCCTTAATGAGCAAAAGATATAAATCTCAATTTATAATTCAGACCACATAATTCAAAGTGAGAGGGGAATTATTATGGCTATAAGAAGAAAGCTACTATGTTACAAAGAGAATTGCCCTAAACAAAGAGAAGCATCTGCTCTTCCATTTCTCATGTACAAGCCTTGAGCCCAAAAGGATAGTAGTGCAAACAGCTGCTTTGAGGCTCCTCAAGAATGCACTGAAAAGTTGCCTTTGTGTCTGAAAAGGTATTCTTTCCAGTAGCTATTCCCTGGAGCTTTATTTGTCCAACAGTCTGCTCCACTCCTGTAGCTCTGCACTGTTCTATCCACAATATACACAAGTTATAGCTCATAAAACACATGATTTCGTTGCTAATGGTTTCGTGCAGGAAACATATTTTTTAAAAGCAATATTGAAAATTATTTGTATTGTGCACTCAAGCTATATTTGACTATTAGAATTTGCGCAATATAACTGTCTGAAGAAGCCACTTTCCAGATCTACAGTGTAGACATTGCAATTTGGCCCAACTTGAATTGATTCTGCAGTGCTGGTTACTGTACCGCTGGTTCTTTGGCAGCATAGTTAGATGGCAGTTTCATCCAGTAACAGGTGACAGAGAAAAATAAACTAAAGGGGCAGTAAAAGATAAGAGTGCCAGATATGAATATATTTTCTAAAAGACCAGAGAAGGTCTTGAGGAATTAATGTGTAAACATACTCCATGGTCCTTTTGTTTGCCCACTTCTGAAAACCGTGCTTTTTCTGGTACAAATGACTCTGTGCAAGGGATAGTTCATTATTCCATGCTTTGGGCAATACCTCACAGATGGCATCTTAAGAGAAGGCAATAGATCTTTGCTGATTACTGGCTGACCCTAGCATACCATTAGTAAGAACAAGCCAAAAAGTCTGCATGTCTACACATCTCTTCACCCTACACAGGAAGATATATGAGAATGCCCCAATGGACCAAACCCAACAGTAAGAAATATGAGTTACAAAGTCAGCACGGCTCTTAACTCTCTCACCTTTTCTCTTTGTTTTTACTATATTTATTCTAATGCAGTTCTGTAGCTGCAATCAGGCAGGGTTTCTCAGTTACGAACTAAGCTCACTCAGATATTTTTTTATGTGTGTGTGTATAGAGGGACAAATTTTCTCAAGAAGCATTTTGTATAAGTTGCTTTGTTTCCTTTTGTGAATCTTCAGAAATGTCTGCCGAATGCCTAACACTGAAATGATATAAGACCTGCATTAGATCAGCTTCAACTGAGTGTAACATGCTGTCCTGGAAGGGTGAGTGCTCGATGAGGTAAGCTCAATTTGTTCAGAGGGTCCTTTTCTAATGGGAAGTGGCATGAAGTACTCAATCATCATTAAATAGTCAAATATTTGAATCTGTTCATAGAATTGCATCTACAGTAATTAAGTTGCTGTATGTGGGTGTCTCTAATTGCCTTATCACAGCATTCCCCTGGCTCTGAAAAGAGAGAAAAATAACAAGTTTTGTTGAAAGAAAGAATTAATAGTAGTCTGAATTGAGGAGCCTACAGCCTGCTCAGACATACACTGTGTAGCAGGGATCATAGGTTTATTTGGTCAGATGAGTGTAATTGTATTATGAAAGAAAAGAAAGGAAAGGAAGGAATGAAAGAAAAAAAAAAATAAGGAAAGGACAAAGAAAAAAAAAGTAAGGACAGGGACATGGAGAGGAGGGAAAAAAAGTAAAAAAATCCTAACATTCCATCCAGGAGTTTCCTGGTTTTATTTTTACAAAAAGTGTAGGATGCGTGATCAGACTTCATGATCTTAGAACAGTCACAGAATCACAGAAGAACATAACATTTTGGGTTGGAAGGGATTTTGAAGACTGTTTAGTCCCAGACCCCTGCTATGAATAGGAACAACAACCACTATCTCACTATATCTTGCTCAAAGTCTTATCCAACCTGGCCTTGAAACTAAATATCTGGGGTTTATGGACACTTCAAACAAGATTGGTATTAGATGATTTTACAGTTCTGAACCGGACATCCAGTGGAAATCATTGTCTTGCATTTAATTGCAATTTCTCTAGATGAACTACACAGCTAAACTGGGAAACTTACTGCTACGTAACTCTGTATGTAAGAAAATACAAGCTGTACTTTTTCTATACTTAGCTGTACTGAAAAAGTGGTAGGGCACGTTCATAAGTGGAAAATTATTCCCAAATACCTTGGGCTCAAATTTGAGTCACAAGCCTCCAGAATTGAGAGAGCATATGATGGTGGAAGCCCCCTTCTTGGAGATGCTCAAGGTAAGACTGGAACAGACTCCAAGCACCTGATCAAGCTGTAGGTGACCCTGTTCACTGCAGGGGAGTAGGACCAGATGGCCTTTGAAAATCTCTTTCAACTCAAGCCATTCTGTGATTCTGTAATATGGGAAAAACACAGTTGTGTTATGGCAATGTTCTGATCCTCTTCCTTTAGCCTCCACGTTTAGGACCTGTTTTGAATACGAAACTGAGCAAAAGGTCAGAACACTGCTGGTTGAACACGGTGCCAATAAAGCACCAGAAAATCTCTTTAGTCCATTTAGAATTCACTGATAGGTTTTGTCTCGTTTAATTCCCCTTAGCGCTAAAGCAAAATTTATCCCTTTTCTTTCAGTGTTCTATAGCTGTGTGTTGTTATTTTTTTTCCCCTTGATTCCCCATCTTATGCTGTTTGGTGATCTTTTGTTTTAGTATTTCTTCACTTTACATTCACCTTCTTTACCTTGTTTTGGCTGGTAAGATTTCTCAAGTAGGAATGATCATATAAAAAGCGTAGTGTGAACACTTATCTTTTATTTTCAGACAAATGGCTCACCACAAGGTAGAGTGTACTACCGAATTACTATACATAAAACAGTGGCACTTTTGTGTTGTGATAAGAATAGTTAACCTTGCACGTGACCTCAGGAAAACAGACTTTTACATGCATGCAATTTTAGCTCACTGAGATTTCAAAGATCCCTTTCAAACATATATCACAAGGCTTCCTTTAGCACATTGACTCTTTGTTTTTCTCTTCCATCATTGAGTTTAACATGCTGATGAGGGCTTGCAAACAAGGTGTCAATGCCAATATATTGGACCTGGGGGGATGAAGACTTTGAAGGAATGTAAAATGAGTAAAGAAATACTTGGCTGCAATTCAGTAATACTCAGAGGAAGCAGGAAACGACTAAAATTTTCAGATACCAACAGCAAGACCACAATTAAATTTCAGCCTTCAAAAACAAACAAAAAGTTCAAAGGCAGACTGCAGAATCTATATTTCTGTTGGTGAGCTCGTGTTGATCATAGGGTAAGCGCCACTGACCTCTGTGACGCTGCTCAAACACAGACAGAAATCTGTGCTCTCTTCCTGGTTCTCCAGTAGGTTCGTATACTCCAGGGTCCGGCACTGGGGTGCCAGCAACATAAACAGATGCTTACTCTTGCATAGTTTGCAAAGGTAAGTATTAAACAACGTGAATAAGAATGGCAGCTTCAGAAGGAAAGTTCCCCCAGAGTCCTCAGGATTGGAAACAAAATACGTTTAAAGCAAAGAATATATTTTTTAATGATATTGTGATGCTACATGTCCCATTAAGCAATGCTTATTAGTTCATCTAAACAATGTTCTGTGACTCATTTCTTATAGCTATACCTTTGGCCTGTATTTCTTCTACTTTGTTTTAAAAATACAACCTCCAGGGAACTGCAGCATTTCCTGTTTAAGGTATTCACCCACTGCTTGATTACTTGTCTTTGATTCTGCTTTTTCTCTGTCTGAGGGAGAGGGAAGATGGACTCGAGCTCAGAATGCTGAACTAACGCATATCAAACTTTCCTTCACATAAACTCATTGAAATGGGTAAGAATGAAGTTTTACTTCCAGTAGTTCACACTGTGATCTCTTCAGAGGCTTCCAGTCAATTTTTTTAAGGAGTTGCTGGAAAAACTCAGCTTCTGTCAATCCAGAAGTACATAGGTTGATCTGAAAGCAATGCCTTTCCTTTGTCTTCATGGAAACTGCAACAGAATGTAAGGGAGTATGGTGGGAAGGATTTCTCTGTATTGCTATACCATTAACATTCACCTCTGATGCCATGGGCTAACAAAATAAATTAAGAGGTATTACTTTTGGAGCAGCCCTAGTAGTTACTAAGGACTTTGTCCCTCTCCCAGGCTATGTTTCCTTCCCAGACACTGGAACACAACTCCCGGTATTTGCAATGATTAATTATATTCTCACAGTGTCCAATTTATCGTTGAAGGAAAGAGAGAAAGAAAGGAAGATATTTTACTTATTTATAGTGCCTTTTTATACAGTTGAGACTGTGCATACAGAATCATTGTTCTGCTGCATCTTAAGTATTCATGCTTGAAGAGACTGAGTATGCAAATATCATTGGAAAAAGAGAGAGAGAGAAGAAACACTGAAGACAACTGTGAGATACTAAGAGCAAGTTAAAGAAACAAAAGAGTGCAAATGACAAGCAGAATTTGAAATATTAAAGGTAAGGAATTTTTAAATCCACATATCCAATAAATCCACAGAGTAAATAGAAGAGAAAGAAGACACAGACTTCCTGTAAAACGTATAAAAAGTTTTAAATGAGCAGCAAAATTTATTAGTTGCTTTTTTTCTGATGAACTCACAGATCCATCTTTGAAAAGCAGCGTAGAAAGAGCAAGAGACAGCAGTACTGGACAGGTAATTGAACAAGGAATTGCATATAGAGTGGCTAGGCAGGATTAGCTAAAGCAGCAAGCCCAGAGAGCACACACACACATATTAGTTTTAGGAAATGAGCTAAGAAATCAGTGAACCTTTCAACCGACATTTAGAGAAGTTCACCATTTCAGAAGAGATTCCTGAGAATCTCAGAGCACAAAATAAATGGTTGCTGGTTTCTGCTTTAGATGTATTGCTTTCAAGCAATAAAAGAATTTAGGTTGGAAAACTAATCTGGCCATGAATCTTCATGCAATTAGTTAGCCTGACTGACTGCAGAATTAAGTTTGTGCTCATGACATGCATTTCCCTGCTCCACAAGAATGACTTAAATACTTCAGAATCAGTTCATCATCTCAGCCCCAGTGAAGCCAGGGTGAGCAAAGTTTAGAGCTGTGACCCATTTTTCATCTTTCTGGCAGCAAATCACTCAATGTACCTAATATGAACGAGTAAGAAACCAGACAGCAAATAGGTGCTTTTCCTGCACAGGAAGTACAGGACTTTAAGGTCTGCCCCCTGGAAGCTGTTGCAGTGTCTGAGATGGGATCCCACTGTGTCCCAAATTAAATCCTCACTGCAGATAGGACATGACCCTTGACATCCCAGTTCCTGCAGAGGATTTTTTTGCTATGATAAAAATCTAAAAATGAATGTATTTTACAAGAGCTCCCCGGACTGGTAGTTTCCAATGTTGTGAATGTGCACTGGGCAAAAAGTTGTGAAGATGTTTCAATGGTTTACAGTGTTGCGACAGTCAAATACTGAGTATACATTTTAAGTCTTCCCACTCATCCCAGAATTGGAAATGTATTCCTAGAGAGCTAAACCAGCACAGGACCTTCTATACCTCTATTTCTTTATAAATATTAATACTTTGCCCCCAAGCATGACCACTGTGCGGCTAAATAAGCTAATGTGCTATAGTCACACATTAATCTTACTGGAGGCCCGGGGGAAAGTGAAAAGAAAATACTTCAATAAAAGATTAGTCTGGGCTATCCTCAGTGGAAGATTAATGCAGAAATAGGCTCTGCATTTTCTACTCATTTACTCTACGGAAAAAATTATTAAGTAGTTCCTAAAACTGCAAGATTCGAAAAGATGGTTGTTATATAATTTATCCCTTTTCTGTTCTACTATTTTTCTGCTTTACTTGCTAGCTACACTGAAGAAAATTTTAGTGTAAAAGACTTAGAAGGTTCATATTTTTCTGTGGGATTAAGAAAATAAAGATGAAAAGAACTTAATATTTTGTTTTATTGCTCACACTTTGAGAAGAGCACCTTTTTGGCTGAATCATTGCTCAGGCTTGCTTAGAAAAATATTAGGGAATAATGTTTTTCCAGAAGGGTATAAATTCTATTGGCTTTTAATGGAGCTGAAAAATTCTAGAGAATATGACAGGTTTTTTTTGTTTTTTGTTTTTTTTTGTTTTTTGTTTTTTTTTGTTTTCCATTTGGAAATGGATTTTAGATTCATAGAAAATTTGAATCTGTCCCATGAAAAAGCGTAGGGAAATCTAATGTGCATTGATTCCTGTAGATACTGGTAATATGATTCAAGATATGGTTTGTCATAAACGGATTTGAGGCTGTTGTCACATCAGTGGCAGAGCCAAGAGGACACCAGATATTGCATCTTTGTGTAATTCTGTGGATCTGTTCTTTGAGGAGTAATTGAAAAAAAAAAAAAGATTTTTCTCCTGAGAAAAATTATTGGTGATATGCTAGACTGGAAACATTTTAGAAAATCCCTCTAGTTGTTTGTGCTATTAGCATAATTGAGGTGGTTGCTCAGGAAGAAAGGAAATACTCTGCTGATGAAGCTCTGAGATTTGTGAGTTCCAGTCTCAAGCCTCAGCTTTTCATAATAAGCAGATATTTTGTGTTAAGCTATGAATAAGATGTGACATCATCAGCCCATAGATTAACAGAAGGACAAGTGTAAGCATCATTTTCCAGGGAATGAGAATATCTGTGTTTTGCCTTCTAAATAAATAGGTCATCTTGATCACGATTGTTAATGACAGATGCCAATATTATTATTCCCTCTGAATTCCCTAAGCAAATGAATGCTAGTATTTTAATTAACTGATAGAATGTCATTAAAATGACTCTGTGGAAATATGGTGCAGTGTATGTGGTAACATTAAGATTGAGCCTATAACCCTTGCCAAGGTATTTGGTTGCTAAGAATAAGCACTAGTCAAACATTTAAGTATTGAATTCGCTGATCCCACTAAGACCATTTTAATGTGAAATGTTTCTGCAGCCTTTTGTAGAAGTGAACAAGAATAATCAAGGATGGAACTTGGAAAGCAAAACATGTTACTATTTTATTTTTTCTGATATTTTATCAGAACAGCCAAGCTGTATAACAAACTTTATTACTTTTAATCCTCATTCAGGAAAATACAATATCAAATAGGGAAATGCACTTGACCAAGGATGCTGTCACCTTCAGCCTTACCTTGTCTAATAGTATTTGCCAGATACTAGATACTGAGAATGAATTTCTAGTTAGATGGAACTATTTTGTCTGATACCAATAACAAGTTTTGGGATCCCATGTGTTTTATTCAATATGTCAACTGTTTAATCTGCTTATGATCAAATTTCATCCTGTAGAGCAGATGGTAAAGACCGAGCGCATCTTGCAGACTTTCTTCTTTTCCTAAAGGGCAGTGCTTCATATCACAGTTGATAACACAAAGGATGGCGTCAGTGGGAGAAAAGGGATGAGAGTGTTTATATTTGTTTTATACGCACAAATATATTCATCTGTAGCTATCTCATAATCTTTTTAACTGTTCATCAGGTGGAGGCAGTAATCAGGAGTCAGAACGCTGCATCTGCAGAAGTGCCCTCCATGCTGGCCAAGGAAAGCTCTTGCATCTCTTGAGGGAGCAACACCAGCTCCCATCCATGTCCTCACTGAATTTGTCTTTGCAGATGGAAAGCAAAATTAACTTCTGCATCCAGGAGAGAAAGGTACTAGAGAGAGAATCCTGAGATACTTACCTTGCAGCGGAGTTACAATTTGCCTTCAAGTGACAGGAATTCCATGCAAAAAGTTGTTTGGGGGTTGGAAAGAAGACCTTGAGTGCTCTCTTGTTTTTCATCTGTCCCTGTACAATCCTGCCCTGTGAAGCACTTCCAAACAGAATAATTTTTATCTATGACATTGGAATTTTTGTGAAAACACCATTTAGCAAAGAAACTGTATGATTTGTATTACTCCTGCTGGTGAAACAGCAACTTTGCTTATTATGTTTTGGCAAAGATCTTAATAGTGCAGTAAAATGTTCTTTGACTTTCATTTCAGTTAACAGGATTCTGAAGGTCTTTGTGTGTAGTGCTAACAGTTAAAAAGAAGGAAATGCAACCAAATTGCTCCTAGTCTGCTCAAGAGCCAGTTGCTGCTTCCTAAGGTAGGTCAAACAATGTAGTCAAACAATGTATAAATCATTAAAAAAAGAAAAAATTAAATTTTAAAGCATGAGCCTTTTTGAACTCAAGGAGCCTTCCTCATTCTTGTGTGTGGTCTTCTATACTTATCTGTCCAGATAGAAGGTCAGGGATTTACCCAAACTATTGATCCTGCAGTGTACTTTGAAAAGGATCAGGAATCTTGATGAGTTGTTTATCTTTGAAGAGCTCACACCCCTGCTAGATCTCTTTGTCTGATTTTCCTTTATCTCTGGCTCCCACGATCTTTGTCCTGGGCTGTGTAAACTGTATCATACTACAGAAAGAGAGTATAGTTATTGGTAGTTATTTTCACATTACTATTCCTGTAAAAAAAAAAAAATTAACCTCGAGGAACAAGATGAAGAACTTGTGCCAGCTAGCAATCACATTTTTTATTATTAATATATATTTTTTTTATCCCAGCACATTGTGAATGATATTTTTTAATATCCTTAACATTTGGCTTATTTGTTGAGTTATACCTCAGACTTTAATCCACACTGATTTGTTCTGATATGTTGTTTGTACTTCAGGAGGCATTTCCTATTCTCTAAGTTGATAGATACAGAGCTGGTAAATGTGCATTTATGATATATTTGCTTTCTTTGCTTACCAAGGATGCTTACAAATCTGCACAAATGAAAGATTTCTAATCTACTGAGAAGTATAAATGCATGCATAAAGTGAAAAGGGTGAAATCCATACACAATAGAATCAAAGCAATGATTAATAAAGATCCTAAGATTTCACGAGATCAAAGATAAAAAAAAAATTGGTAAAAATTGCCAGCTTTACCATTTTCTTCTCATTCTTATGCATTGCTATACTTCTGAGCAAAATCTTAATAAGGACAAGCTACAATGTATGTACTGAAGACAGATTTTAAGATTCATGTGACATTCTTAAAACAAAGATTCATGCATGCATGCAGTGTTATGAGGTTGTCCAGCACTTTACACATTCTAGATTCAGAATATTAGCATCAAAATTAAAAATGTATTAAATACCTTTTCATAGTGAAGTGTATATGAATTCTGGATAAATAAATATGAGAAAAGAATAATAGCAGTACCTCAAGAATTGGTAAGTAAATCAGTGGTTTTTTAATTAGACTTTGAACATAAGACAGAGAATATGAACATTTTATAACCTGAGCAATTTCAAAGACGACCATGTGTCTCAATGCACCTACGTCCTCTTTATTATCATGCAAATGAGCGATCTTCTCAAATCAAAGCCCCCTGTGAGCACTTATTCTATTACTCTGCTGGAGTTGTCATTCATGTCTGTCTTTTTTATAGGCTTTTGCACCAAATCTACAGTTTAATGTTTTTCTATGTTTTTTCTTAGGGTAAAGCCTGAAATTAAACTTGTAGCTGAGGAAAAGTCCCAGTTTTTCACTTTTCTAATACATTTTATAGGCTTTTGCACAAAATCTACAGTTTAATTTTTTAATGTTTTATTAAACTGAACTCTCGTATCTGTAAACAGAAGTTACCAGTTAAGCTGGTGGTATTTCTTTCTATATACTGTCAGCATCTTTCACCTATCTCATATTTTGCCTAATGCACGGAAGAAAAAGCAAAGAAAAAATTGGGGCATGATGTGAATCTTCTTTTTTGTCACTGTACTGGTAAGGTCAATCAGGTTCTGTATGTAGTCAGTGTGAGAGGAAAGAGCACTCCTCAAGAGTCAGTACCAAAATCCTAAGTGCCTGCAACAATGTCCTCTTTCCAGAATGTAAAACCAATTATTTTTTATCTGCCTTCCACCATTATGCTGACACAGTGGGTTTCTGTGGCTCATTTGCCCATATAGAAGAACTGGAATAGACATGTGAGGGCTGATGTACTCCCCACAGATATTTCCACACCTTAGCCGTAGGCTGATTAGCTTTTTCATGAGAGCATCGTCTGTTTGTGGCTAGTAAGTGAGCACGCTGAGTAGTTAAAATTGAGAAATTTCAGTGTAGAACTCCAACAGATTTAAAATTGTTTTTCTTTGGCTTATGCTATACCAAAAGAAATAACTAAAATTGCTAAATAAATGTAGGAAAAGAAGGAAGTGGAAAAAAAAGGAGTGCAACTAGGAGGAAACCTTTCCATTATTTCAGCCAACTTTGGACATCGAAGAAAAGTGATAAATAGAGGCCCACCTCTATTCAGTCAACAGTTATTTTCTCATGTCATAGTATTTCAGAATCAGTATAGTGTTACTTAGGAACAGAGGAGGAGGAGTCTTTATGGAGCACATTCTGTCTATGCAATGATTTAGAAGCCATTGGCAGCTCAGAACCTATCTCTAGCTCTGAGCATGTATTGCATTGTAGAATTCAAATGAAGAAAATACTGTAATGCCATAGAGAAAGATGCAGTGGCAATAACTCTGGAGCATGCCCAAATGGGAAGCTCTGGGGGCCTTGTGGATTGCTAGCTTGCTAGCTTTGTTGTTCCTTGAGTGGTTACACCATTGTAGCCTAACTTGAGAGCACACCTACATTTCTGTCAGATCTGTCCCTTGTTTTTCAAACTGGCAGGCACTGAGTAACTTGTACAGCAAGTGAAGTGCTTGTTCTTGCTTACATGATTCATTATTACTTTCCACAGTCATTATGAATAGAAGTAAGCCATCTGTTATAATAACAGTGTGCCTTTCATCAAGAAGCATGGCTTTAACTAGAAGTAGAAATGAGTGTCACATAAAAATGAGTTTGGGGGTCTACATGTACATCCAAATTAGATGGCACAATACTATCAGCAATTGACACGTGCATAAAATCTGTTTTGTGAGAATATTTACTATTGTTTTCAATGTGAACCAGAGCAGGCTGATAACATTTTAAATTGCTAAAACAATTCACTTGAATAGAATAAATTTCATACGCTGTTCTTCAGTATGAATGTTAGGTATTTTTAGACTACTAATAAGGCAAGTAAATCCAGAATTTGATATGAACATATTTTTCTTTATCATTTTAAATCAGTCTCCCAGAAGAGCTTCAAAGAGCTGAAAAGCACTAAGAATCTCTATTCTTTTTTAGCTTTAAGGGATTTTTGTAGTTATGTATTAAAAATAATCAAAACATTTTCTGTGATAACAGGTCTTAACTTTTCTGCAAGGTTTATTTGGATGAATCGTTCTTTGAATTGCTGTTCTGTTGCATGGTTTTTGTTGTTGCTGTTTTTTAATTGGTTGATCTGTTGGTTTTTTTTTTATCATGCTTCCTTTTATGTCTTTTGAAAGGTTTATACTCACCAGTAAAATACAGGTGAAATTCTTTATCTTTGTTGCACTTTAACTACATAGGTTACTCTAAAAGTAATGCCTCCTATTTATTTCCATGGAAACTACAACAGATGCAAAGAACATAACAACACTGTTTGATAGAGTAAATTCTCAGCTACAAAACACGATTCTTCAACATTGTCACCCCCATTATCTATCCATTTTAGCCAGCAATGAACAAATGGCTGCATGCCACACTCCCAAAAATCTGCATGGCTGTCCAGAATGTGGCTTGGCTTTGATGTTGCTGTCAATGCTGCTGAAATGGACCATCCACCTCCTCACTGTGCTCAGTTCCACTGTTTAGTTTCCATAAACATTCAGCAAGCATCAATGAATGTCCATGGGCGCTGTTTTTTCTGCACAGAGGAATTCAGTGACACACCTTTGTTCCATGCACGCACCCCTGTCAGACAACATTCTGTCAGAGTGCCCCTCCCTGCTGTCATCTATTCCATGGCAACAAAATGTAAAGCAATGTCAGTGGGAAGGTTCAACCTCTCCTGCCACACCACCAACATCTTGATGATCTTTAAGGTCTTTTCCAACCTGAGAGATTCTGTGATTCTATGATCTGCCTCTGATCTTGTGAGTCAACATAACAATGTAGGAGGCATTACTTTCAGAGCAGCCTGTGTATGTATTGTGTTGTAGTCCAATTCAAGAATAGCTTGAGGAAAGCCAACATTTTTCTTTTAAATATGGCCTGAAATGCATCAGAAACATAGGTTCAACTCCTTCCTCTAGGTAAGGGAATTTTAACCTATGCCTTTTTCTTAGGGTAAGGACTGAAACTAAACTTGTAGCTGAGGAAAAGGTCCTAGTTTTTCACTTTTCTAATTTTTTTTTTTGAGTTTTTTTTGTTTTGTTTTGTTTTGTTTTGAGTAATTGATTTTTGTTGGCAATCCCAACTTCAGCATTACGTCACAGCCTTTGTCACAAGCTACAATAATCCAGATGGAGTTTATTAGAAAAAATCATGCTGCAAACTATTTATTTAGTATTTATTTATCAAGTGAGATTGAGTTCTGGACTGGATGAAATTCCACAGGTCACCAGCATTCCTAAATCAGAATGTACCTATGAGCAAACAGATTGCCCTGTGTCACTCAGGTGTGGCAGAGCATTATTAATATGTACATATATATATATATATTTTTTTTTGCCTTCTTGACTAGGCACAGAAGTTGGATCCAA